TTTCCCCCTTGGAAACAAGATCGCGAATGAAATGATGCTTAATATCTATGTGCTTAGTCCTAGAGTGTTGAATGGAATTTTTTGTCAGATTAATTGTACTAATGTTATCACAGTACATAGGTACACATTCATATACTAAACCAAAATCATTCAAAGTGTTTTTCATCCATAGCAATTGAGCACAGCAAGCACCAGCACAACATATTCAGTTTCAGTAGTGGACAATGAAATAGCATTTTATTTTTTACTAAACCAAGATAGTAAGCAATTTCCAAGAAAGTTGCATATACCAGTAGTACTTTTTCTATCTATTTTACAACCACCGAAGTCAGCATCAGAGAATCCACATAAAGGAAATTCATGACATTTTGGGTACCACAAACCAAAGTTTAAGGTTCCTTTAAGATATCTAAGAATTTTTTTTACCGCATTCAAGTGTGATTCCTTTGGATAGGATTGAAATCGAGCGCATAAGCATACAGCAAACATGATATCAGGCCTACTTGCAGTTAAATAAAGTAAGCTTCCAATCATACCTCTATACTTCTTCTCCTCAACTTTTGTACCTTCTTCATCTTTGTTAAGTTTAGTAGATGTGCACATAGGTGTTCCAACAGGCTTTGAGTCCTCCATTTCGAATCTTTTCAGCAACTCTTTGGTGTATTTTGTTTGGTTTATAAACGTTCCATCTCGGGTTTGAACCACTTGGAGTCCAAGGAAGAAGTTTAATTCTCCCATCATGCTCATTTCAAATTCCTTTTGCATGATGTTGGAAAAATCCTTGCACAAGCTCTAATTAGTAGCACCAAATATGATATCATCCACATATATTTGCACAATCAAAAGATCTCGTGAGCTTTGTTTCGTGAAAAGCGTAGTATCTACAATGCCTCTTTTAAAACCATTTTCAATCAAAAACCCACTCAAACGTTCATACCATACTCTAGGAGCTTGCTTTAATCCGTATAAAGCTTTTGAGAGTTTAAAAACATGATCTGGATAAGATTCATTTTCAAAACTAGGAGGTTGGTCAACATAGACTTCTTGATCTATAAAGCCATTTAAGAAGGCACTTTTAACATCCATTTGAAATAATTTAAAATTCTTGAAACATGCAAATGCTAGAAACATTCTAATGGACTCCAGCCTAGCTACGGGTGCAAAAGACTCATCAAAGTCTATTCCCTCTTCTTGGGTGTATCCCTTAGCCACCAGCCTGGCCTTATTTCTAACAACCTCCCCTTTATCATTCATTTTGTTCCTAAAAATTCACTTTGTGCCAATGATAGGATGGTTTTGTGGTCTAGCAACCAGGGTCCAAACTTTGTTTCTTTCAAATTGGATTAACTCTTCTTCCATAGCTAAAATCCAGTGCTCATCATTCAATGCATCAATAACATTTTTAGGTTCAAAATGTGAAACTAAAGCAAGATTATCTACTAGGTGTATAGAGGAACGAGTTCTGACCTTTTCAGATGGATCACCAATTATAAGCTCCCTGGGATGGTTCTGAACAAATTTCCAGGTTCTTGGAAGATCATTAGGAGTAGTGGTATCTCTGTCATCCGTTTCTCCAGTTGGACTGTCCTGAGTATCAGCATCCTTTAAATCAGTTTCTGGTGAAGCAGTGCCATGATCATTGATTGCTAACTTCTTTAACTCTTCTTGAACACCTGTATCATCATCTTCACCACAACTCATGGAAATGTCACCATTAGATTCATCAAAAGTAATGTGTATTGCCTCCTCTATAACCAGTGTTCTACGATTATAAACTCTGAAGTCTCTTTTGTTTTCACAATAACTCAAGAAAATTCCCTCATCAGATTTCTTGTCAAACTTTCCAAGATGTTCCTTGATGTTCAAAATAAAACATTTACAGCCAAAGACTTTAAAGTAACCAACAACAGACTTTTTGTCAAACATGAGCTCATAGAAAGTTTTGTTCAAGATTGGTCTTAAGAGAACTCTGTTCATGGTATAACAGGCTGTGTTTATGGCTTCAACCCAAAAATACTTTGGTAAATTGTATTCAATAAGCATGGTTCTAGCAGCCTCTTGGAGAGTTCTATTTTTTCTTTCCACCACTCCATTTTGTTGGGGGACTCTAGCAATAGAGAATTCATGTGTAATGCCATTGTTATCACAAAAATCTGGAAAGCCACAAAAATGAAATTCAGAACCATTATCACTTCTAATTTTGATAATTTTCAAGCCAATCAAATTCTGAACTTTAGCGAACAGTGATACAAAGTTCTTGAAAGCATCATCTTTATGTGCAAGAAACATCACCCATGTTTATCTGGAATAATCATCAACAACAACAAAACAGAATCTCTTACCACCAAGGCTTGTAGTTTGTGTAAGACCAAACAGATCAAGGTGTAAAAGTTCTAGTGACTTTGAAGTGGAAACACACTTCTTGGGTTTAAAAGATACCTTGACTTGTTTTCCAAATTGGCAAGCATCACATATCCGGTCCTTTTCAAATCTGATTTTTGGGAGACCTCTAACAAGATCCTTTTTAGAAATTTCTTTTAGCAAATCCATATTGAAGTGACAAAGCCTTCTATGCCATAACCATGGGTCCTCATTTGCAACTTTGAGACATTTGAGATAGGAGGAATCAATTTTTTCAGGAACAACTATATAGATATCATCAACTCTTTTTCTTTTGAAAACAATGTTGAATTTTGAGTCAAATATGAGACATTCAAGTTTCTTGAATAATACCAGCAGATTCCTATCACACAGTTGGCTAACATTTAATAAATTGTAGCTCAGATTGTCTACAAGAAAAATATTATGGATAAAGGTTTGACCATTCTTACCAACATCACCAATACCAACAGTTTTGGCTTTGTTATCATCTCCAAACGTTACCTTTCCACTTGCTTTTGGCTTGAGTTTAATGAATTGAGATGCATCACCAGTCATATGTCTTGAACATCCACTATCGATGAACCATTTTGATTTTTTATCAATGTTATCCAGGTTCACCTACACACAAACCCACAAGATAATACTTGGTACCCTTTACATGTTGGGTCCTTGAGCGTTAGCATTATGTCTAACCATCCACATACATCTCATACCATTTTTCATGTTTTTCTTAACATAGCAGTTGCTATTCATATGACCAAATTGACAACAGAAATTGCATACTGACATTGGATCAATCAAACGAACTGGTTTAATGAATCTGACTTGCCTTCTTCTTTGGATAGCAAACTCATTTGCGTTTTGATTCAGTCTTAATTGATGAGCGTTAAGATGAGGTTTAATGTCATTCTTTTGAAGACGGTTCTGTCTCATATGATGTAACAATTGACATAAATCATCCATCCTTTTTCTTAGACTACATTGTTCACTTCTGAGTTTGTTACAGAAATTTTTCTTTTTGTTAAGTTCAGCAAACACATCAGTTTCAGTCCTTTTCAGGTTTTCATTTTCATGCGTGAGACACTTGTTTTGTGGAAAAAGATTTGCATTATCTTGAATCAGAAAATTAATTTTCTGTTTTAGTTCTTTGTTTCTGATATAAGATTCTTTTAAATTGTTGTGCATCTTTTCTAAGAATGAATTAACATCATCATCAGATTCATTGTCACTATCAGTTTGTGAAGAACAAGCAGTTACCTCATCATCACCAATGGCTATGAAAGCCACTTGAGCATATTCCTCTTCTTCCTCAACTTCACCTTCTGAGTTGCAATCATTCCAGGTGATCTGAAAATTGTTGAACTTTGGTTTTCGTTCAACCTTGTTCTCCTTCTTTTTCTTCATTGGACACTCATTTGCATAGTATCCTGGTTGACCACATTCGAAACACTTATCAGTCTGTTTCTTGTTGAACTCCAATTTTCCTTTATTTCTGAAGTCATTAGACTGATTTGGAAAGGAATTGCTGGATCCACCTTTCCTGAATCTTCTCTTGTTAAGTATTCTTTTGAAACCTTGTGTGATGAGTGCAATATCACTGTCATCACCTTCCAAATCATTTCCATCCTGTGAGGTTGTTTCATCTTCGTCTTGTGATACTTTCAGAGCAATACTCTTTCTTACTTTGGTGTCTTCTTCATCCTGCATCTTAGATTTAAGTTTTAGTTCGTAAGAGGTTAGAGAGTTAATCAGAGATTCAATGGATAAAGTATTCAGATCCTTGACTTCCTCGATGGCAATCACTTTGCTCTCCTAGTCCTTTGATAGAGCATTCAGAATTTTCCTGTTCTTTTCACCTAGAGAGTATTCCTTCTCAAGCACCTCTAAATCTTTGATCAGATCATTAAATCTGCAATACATTTTGTCAATGTTTTCATGAGGTTCCATCTTAAAAGATTCATACTTAGTGACCAGAATGAATTTCTTTTGCTCTCTCACATTCTCGCTTCCCTCATGGATCTCTCTAAGTTTATCCCAAATTTCTTTTGTAGATCTGCAGCCTTTGACTCTAATGGACTCATTTGAGTCTAATGCACTGTATAGAACATTTATAGCCTTGACATTTAGAGTGAAATGAGTTCTATCTTCAGCAGTCAACTCACTTCTTGTTTTTTGTCTTGGCCTATGAGTAATTTCATCAACAATAGTCGCGTCATATGGTCCTTCACAAACAATAAACCACAATTCAATATCAATGGATTGTAGGAATATAATCATCCTTTCCTTCCAACTCACATAGTTTGACCCATTGAACATTGGAGGTCTAGTGACAGATTGTCCCTCAAAGAACATGGCATTGTTGGTTGTCATATTTACTCCCAAGTCGATTGAGCTTAATCTCTAGGAGACCAAGCTCTGATACCAATTATAAGGATCGAAAACAACCTAAGAGGGGGGGGTGAATTAGATTTTCTAAAACCAACTAAGATATAGGTCACTTTTTTTCAAGCCTGCCCTCCTTTTCTCGAAGACCACTCAATGGATCAGATTACAAGAAAGCACAGTTGTTCGTGAGATGAAGAGATGAACAGTTTATATAGTAAAACTGTAAACGAAAGTAAAGAGACAAACCAGGTTTCAAACTCAACTTGAGTTTGAACAATACTTTATATAATAAGCTACTTCAAGTTGAACAAACTTGCAACCAATTTCTGTGTACAATGGAAGGATCACTTTCTTCTTGCCCCAAACCACACTTGGTCAAGCAAGGAAGTTTTACAAACACTCTGATAACCCTCACAAAGCTACACTATTGAAGAAGCTATGTCACACTTGAAAAGCTACAAGGAAATTGCACAAGCTGAGAATACAAATAATCCCTTTTTGAGTATTCAATCACTTGAATCACTCACTATTTGATGTAGACTGGATGTGCAAAGTTGCTCTGAGGTGGTTGACTTTTTTTCTTTTATAGGAGACCAAGAAATTCTTCAATTAATGCTGTTAACGGATAGAAGGCAACTGAAGAGTCAACTAGCCATTGGTGCTGTCGGACGGCCGATATTCAGTTTTTATGCGTCCGAACGAGGTCAATGAATTAGAGAAATCTTCTTGAACCTCTTAGGACGTCCGATCCCCTATCACCATGCGTCCGAGGGTAAGATGCAGATTTGGAGGTTCCTTTTCAATTCCTTCGGACGGCCGATGCATCCAATGTGTTGTGTCCGAAGTGCAGCAACGCTTGTCGGACGTCCGATACTCAAGTGTTGAGCGTCCGATCGTGATCAATAATCGTAGAAGCCCTGGCTTGTCTTCTTCGGACGTCCGAGTCTGAGTTCTTCATACGTCCGAAGTTACTCAATGGATGTTGGACGTCCGATACTCTCCTTTTGTGCGTCCGACATCTTTCTCAACACTTTTCACCTTTTTTGATCTTCTTTTTGCTCTAAGTCCACAGACCTGTTTAGTATCATTTTTGAAAAGGGGTTTGTTTTGTAATCATCAAAAGATATGAATTGAGATAAACAATACGAATATAATTTCATTTAAAAGAGAACGAGTGCGGTAAAGTACACCCTCGTCTCAAAATTTTAAATTCACATAACGGATAAGAAACAGATAACCACTTAACAACAAGTTCATGCACTTGACACTCACCAATCAAAACAAGGGAGTAAGTGCGTAAACGAGCCTTTAGGTGTTCCCCTCGAGATCCTCTTGAAGGTCTCCTTGAGCACTTGAGCAAATAGTAATTGTCTATTACGCACTATCGCTTAAAACCCCTAATTATCGAGGAAGATTGCACACTTGTACAATCTAAGAAAATTTCACGAAAATGAGCCTCAATTACTCGTAAATCGAGGCTCAAAAATGGAGTTTTAAAACACAAGCGAAATCTGATTTTTATCTTGAAATCAAGTGTAAAACGGTCTAGCAATATTGAAGGAAAATAGAGGATTCGCAACCCTCAATTTCCTTTAAGTTCGGAAATTTCAGATTTGTCACCCATACTTTAAAAAATCGTATCTCATTCTCTACAAGTCCAAAATTGGAAAACTTGATACCGTTGGAAACCTCTTAAAAAGTACTAAAAGTTCTTAGAAGACACTTTTCCATTATTCCAATTGGAAGATAATCGAAATTTAGCCCAAAGTTGTTGTTTTAGAAAGTCAAGACAGATTTGGGTTGATTTTTGGCAAAGTTTGGAAATTTGGCAAAATTCACACAATTGGAACTAGCCTCTCAAATTTGAAAATCAATTAGAATTACAATCAAAGTTTAAAACCAAACAAGCGGAACAAGAATCGGAGTGTTAAGCACCAAGATATGACAGCTCAAAGTTGGTGAAAAATCGAAATTGTTAAGCAAAATTTTAGATTTAAACTTCAAACTTTGGGACTTTGGTTAGGTATCGAAACGGACTTGGAACGGTACCAAATTTGGTATGAATACACTACCATATAAGAGTTATTCCTCTTCCAAATTTCACAGAAAAATATGTACGAGCAATTGGTTAACGAAACCACTAAAATCCCAAGAAGTTCCAAGGCAAATCTGCCTTGGACTTCCATTTTTCCGTTTTCAAGCATTTGGCCAAGGAAATTTTCTCAAACATGGTTCAATGGTGTAGAAAATGTCTAATAAACATTCAAGGTGTGTTTGGTAGGTGATTAACACCAAGAATTTCAAAACAACAAGTCCCAACAATGATCTAAACATTTACTAGCCAAAAGAGGGTTTTAGTTCACCGAGTCAGCTTTAAACTTTGGCCACAACTCACTCAATTCAACTTGGAATTGAGAGTGGTTAGTGGCATTGGAAAAAAATTTCATTAATATACAATTTCTTAGAAGAAACCATTTTCAAAATCGGCCCATAACTAGCTCGTTCATGAGCATCAAGTTACAGCTCATGTGCTGCCTTCCAGGAAACAACGAAACAGGACAGCAATTTTCAAATGAATGGTTTGGCTTGCTCAAGTGGAACCAGGACAGGAATTTTATACCAACGGAAAGCTGGGAATGTCTAGTTTCCAGTGCAGCAAACGGCACTTGATTCCGACATCGGAGCGATGAGTTATAGCCGAAACAAAAACACTGCCTGGGTGAATACGGGAATAGTTTCCAGATTTCTAAGCTTTTGTAAACTCAACATTTGGGTGACCAAATCAAGTTATTTTTCAATGAAACTTTTTACACACTCAATATAACATGTAAACAACATAAGCAAGCCATTAGAACCTCAAAATTTCGCACCAAAGTGCTCGAACAAAGCAGGGGCAAAATGGTCACTTTTGGTCATTGCACCATCCTTGAGTTTCTATCAACAACCCAATATTAATCCACTAGTTTAAGCACTAAATAAATATTATTACCATCAAAACATCACAAATCAGTCCATATATCCAAGGCGGGAGTTCATAGAGCCCACGCAACCAAATTTTTCTCAAAATAATGCTACCCACTAACATGCATGAGTATATATGAGCACTAGAACTTCCATAAACCAAGTTTTTAAGGTTTGATCGTTACCTACTCCACTTGGTGTACAAAACAGAAATTTTCGGTCCTTTCCTTGGCCAAGAAAACCGTGAAAAGCAAGCTCTTTTCCTAGCTTAGGTGATGCTCCAAGTTGTTGTGAGTGTTGTGAGCTAGTGTGCAAAATTTGAGGTGAAATGGATGAAAGATTGGAAGTGAAATGAAATGAAACTTTGTTCTTCTCCTTGCTAAGAGTTGCAGCCGACCATGGAGTGAAGAAAAAGGAGAAAAGGCTGATCAAAAGAGGCTTCCTAGAGAAGCTTGGTAGTTAGTGGCCTTGTGCACAAAAGTCAACTCTCACTAGCGCGCGTAATCGTGAGTTTTGTGCTCGATTCCTTTCGGGTTTGTTTTACTTGTGCACTAAACCTCTAATGCACTTGTATTCATATTAATATTATTCACTCTTAATTGTCCCAAAATAAAGGTCTAAAGTCGCTCAATTAAATCGCGCGTGTGAAACCCGTATTTTCAAATTAAGCGCGATAAAGCGAAACCTCCAAGAATTTCTTATAACGATAGTACTAATAACTATCACTTGAGTACTTAAACATAAAATTACCTATTTTAGAACCATTGTGTAAGTCTCCAATTTTTCAAACTTGTTGTACTCTCAATCGGTTAAAATTTCCAAACACGTTTTCACTATTTTCACTAAACGAGCTTCCAAAATTAATTTTTGAAACAAGTCACTTTAAAAATATAATGAAACTATAATTCCATGTATTTAGGTCTAAATAGGTTAGAAAATAATATTCGGAGTGAATGGGCAATTAAATATTTAAATAAGCTCGAAATGGAATTTAAAATAATAAATTTTGCGAGTCCTCACATGAGTCGAGTTTTAACTCCTCAAATATCAAATTAACTTTTCTTAATCTACTATTGATCATTCTTACTTCTCCAAAATTAATACACTCTCGATTCAAATATAGTCTCGAAAAACGTGTACTCATTGTTCCGAACTAAACGAGTTTTCGAAAAGTAAATTTTCTAACAAAACGCTTTAAAACATAAGAGAGACGTTTTTCCATATAAATGGATTTTAAGTAGTCAAATTAAAAAATTCGGAGAAAATGAGTGAATAACTATTTAAATAAACCAGTAATATATGACGAAAATAAGAAAATTTTCGGATCCTCACATAAATACTTTAAAAAGTCTTTATATAATAAGCCGATAGAATGTGGATTTAGTATATAAGGGTGTAAATTTAGTCCTTCCCTTATAGTTCTTTCAAACAAAATTTAGAAATTAAATATAAATCAAATATCCAATTATTCTGATCAACACAATATACATATATGCATAACCAAATACGCATATTAGTAAATCCAAATATATATTACAAAATAACTAATCCAATTTTTATACCTCATTTCAACAAATGATTTAATAAGTATCTCCATCCAAAAAATAATATCCAAACAGATGAAATTTGCATCCTTTTTAATGAAACTCCTTCTTATCCATTACTATGCCATTCACTCTTTTTTATTATGACACTATACTAGGGATGTACGCGAGTCGAGCCAATATCGAGTAGCTTGCGAGTAACTCGGTCAACGACTTGGCTTGAACTCGGTCAAATCGAGTTCGAGCCGAGTCTCGAGCTACTTGAGTATATTGTCGAGTCGAGTTCTAGTCAGCAATTTGAGGCTTGAGGCTCGACGAGTAGCTCGTCGAGTCGGATATATTTAATTAATATATATAATTTAAATAATATATATGTATTATAATTATAAAATTACCGTTATGGGTATAATTTATACTGAATTTACAAGATACTCTTCTTTATAATAAAATTTCATAAGGGTAGAAAAGTAATAAGATAATTGTAAAAGACCTAAAAAGAAAAAATGTTGGGAAAAAGCAAAGAAAACCTTCAGAATTTAGTTTCTCTTCCTCCCTTCTTCTCTGTTTGAACGAGTGACTTCTAAACCCTACCTCCGTTACTCTCAATCTCTCACTCGTCGCCGACGCCATTGCTCGCCGCATCTGTCAGCCTCCACGCCATCGTTTTTCTGGTTACTGGTATGTCTGCCTCTGCTCTAATGTGCATTTCCAGTTCTATTTCCATTTCCCCCTTCATTCATCTTCGCTTCCCTCTCTCTCTCTCTATGGCACTATGGGTGTGGGGACTGGGGACTGGGGACGGGGAATGGGAAGTAGTAGTATGATTGATTACTGGGTCTGGGAGTAAACCCAGAAGCATATTAAATTTGTTTTCCTGTCAGCCTCCATCGCCATCTGGATCTGATGAAACACTTCTGCTTTAATTTGTTTTCCTTTTTTGTCTTTTTTTGGCCTCTTTTATTAGGCATGCGTAAGTGTAACAATGAATACGAAAGCTGTGTGGAATTTTTTTGCCTCTTTTTTGTCTTTCGCATTTGAATGGTATGCTGTGTGGAATTTTTCGTAAAAATGCCACGCAATTGGCTAAAGTAGGACACGGTTCTACTAAATTAGACTTCGACTGAATTGGTAACCTTTGTCAAAAGTGGTTCAATCAGAAGGAAATTACTCACAACCCTTTTTTCAAAAAAAAAAAAAAATTGAAAACACACTCCATCATCTTCACATGGCTCTAGAATCTAATTATTGCTCTATTTGTGCTAAAGAATAAATTCTAACTTCTAAGAGCAGATTTCTAAAACCCCAAAATAAAAATTGTAAATCATAGATATAAGGCGTAGCCTGTCAATCCTGGATGTTAAAAACAAAGAAGGAAGAACAATTTGAGTATTCCGTGGTAGTCTGGATTTAATGACTTGATATGGAGAGTTAAACAAGCACCACTAGAATTGTTGTGTGTAATTTGTTAAAAATGCCATTAAAACAAAACACACTCTGTATAATTCCACTAAACTCCACAAACTTCATCCCACTTTGTATAATTCCTCTAAAGTCCCTAGATCACTTACA